CCCCAAAACCCCAAAACCCCAAAACCCCAAAACCCCAACTTTTAAGATTTAAGCTGAAATTCTAAGAAATATAATTAAATTAAAATGGAGAGGAATGATAAGAGTGCTCAAGGACCTTTAAGCCTAGAGATTGATGTTTCCAGAAAGGAAACAAACACAAGGAATTTGATAAATAATGTGCTGAGTAGTAAACATGGTGGTGTATTAAATCATGGATTTGTGTTTCAATTCAGAACTAGGAATACAAATTATTCTGCAAACGAATTCTACATCAAAGATATCTCCAAGTTGAATGTTTTGTCTTCTGAAGAAGATCAAAATGTTGAAATAGTTACTTTAAATTCAGGGATTAGAGTTAAGTATTTTTACAAAATGCTTCATTTCCATATGAATAATAAGAGCTGTTTTGAAATAAGAGGAATAGAACTTTGTAAATCATTCAGAACAAATTATGGAATGAAAAGATTGATTAGAAATGCTCATTTTTTGAAAGAACTTGATATTATTGAGGTGACTATGACCTCTAAACACTTTTCTAGTGTACTCCTATGTGGAGTTTATTTAGAAAGATTGGTTCTGCAGAAATGAAAAGTTAGTGGACCCAAACTAACCTTCACAGCTAATAGTTCCTCTTGATTAAGAAATATTTTTATTAAATGGGGCTATAGAGTAAGTATATTCACAGATAAGTTTTCTTTATTCTTCTAAATCTCTGACCTAAGGATTTAGATAACTCCTCCAGATGTTGTCAAGAATGCCCCTGATTACCTTGACAACTTCTTATGGCATATCAACCAGTGTCCTTGCTCTGAGACTTTGGATAAAGTTACGATCCAAGGTAGTTTAGTTGATAGAGAGTCTAAAGCTATCATCAAGGAAGAATACCAGAATTTAAGCTTCAGATTTACTATATATTAAGGTCTTGTGCAAGTATTTTCATTAGCTTCTTAATTTCAATGGGCTTTAACTGGGACACGAAGTAAAAGGATATCACTCAGGTTTTGGAAGAGGGGAAATTCCTTTTAAGTGATAGCTAGTTAAGAGAAAACTTTTAGTTAATCACAAGAATTATAGGAGAGTATATTTTAATTGGGAGTGGTGTGTTGATGATATATGGGAGCTAGCCTGATAGGTAGAAGAGTGGTGATGAGGCAAATGAGAGAGAATGATGAGAAAAATTAAAATTAAAGTGTTGTACTTAACACAAGTATTGGCATTTAAAATGATCATTAGAAACTTTTAAAAGTTATGCTTAGTATTTCTTTTTCATTTTCTCACAACTCTTGATTAAATAAATCTCCCTCAATACTATAGACATAAATTTTCTTCTGTCCAACTTCGTTCTTAGTCATTCACAAACTTTTTTCTGCTTCATCTTATCCTTATAGTAGTTTACCCTTTTGTAGAGTCTTTCCAATCATAGATCCTTCCTCAGCTTTGCTTCTTTAGGCTCCAGTTAGGCTAGATCTGAAATTCCTGAATACCACTGGGGATTTATCCAAGAGAACCTGATTAGTATTGGGAGATCAGGAAAAGAAGGTAGTTAACTCAAATTTTTACTGGCTCTGATAAAAAAAGAGAGGATAAAAATCAACAATCAGGAGGGTTGAAGATAATTTATAGTGAGCGATTTATACTTGAAACATCTTATTATAGTGATATAATGCTAGCTATCATGAATCTTATTTAAAAGCCTCTAGTCACTAACTCTTTTAAATATCCAATCAATATTCAAGAACCACAATGGGGTTTTGGGGTTTTGGGGTTTTGGGG